GCTCAACCTGCTCCAGAAGTGCTCCTTGCTGCGGCTCACAGCTATCATGGAGAAGTACTCCGTGCCCCACAAGCAAACCTGGACGTGGTGAGCTGGTGGGGAGGGAGCTGGGATGGAGCCCTGGGGATAGTGCTGCCGAGGCAGCTAGTGGGCTGCCCTGACCACCTCTCCATCCCACCCTGCAGGACTGTGCCCAAGTTCATGAAGCGGAGCAAAGTCCCTGACTACAGGGACAAGTCAGTCTTTGGGGTGCCACCCATCATCAATGTGCAGAGGACGGGGCAGCCGCTGCCGCAAAGCATCCAGCAGGCAATGCGTTACATCCGCAGCCAGTGCTTGGACCAGGTGATGCTGCAGCTGTGGGCGCTGGGGGGCTCTGAGCATGGGCAGCTGCTGTCTGCAGTGCTATAGTTGGGGAAAAAAAAGTGAACTGCAAGCAGTTCATTCACTTCTTGCAGCACTTGGAAGTAGGGAAGGAGGAGTGCAAGGCTCTCTGTGGGATGTTCATGTCTGTGGGGTCATCGCAGCCATCCCATACCTGTGCTGTGCGGTGGTGTGGGGTAGGGGGTGAGGAGCTGGGTAGGGACTCAGCTGGCATCCCAGCATGTTCCCGCTCCCTCCCGGCAGGTTGGCATTTTCCGTAAATCAGGGGTGAAGTCCAGGATCCAGGTGCTCCGTCACATGAATGAAACCAGCCCTGACAACGTTAACTACAAGGGGCAGTCAGCGTACGACGTGGCAGACCTGCTGAAGCAATATTTCCGTGACCTGCCGGAGCCCATCTTCACCAGCAAGCTCACAGACACCTTCCTGCAGATCTACCAGTGTAAGGCACGGGCTGTGCGGGGGGGCAGGCAGCTCTCTGCTCCTGGGGAAGGGGAGGGTGGAGGTCCATTAAGGTGAGGACAGAGCGCTGACTGCAGGCGCTGCCCTCAGTTGTGCCAAAGGAGCAGCAGCTGCAGGCAGTGCAGGCTGCCATCATCCTGATGCCGGATGAGAACCGTGAGGTGCTGCAGACCCTGCTCTACTTCCTGAGTGACATTGCCTCTGCCGAGGAGAACCAGATGACTGCTGGAAACCTGGCCGTGTGCCTGGCCCCCTCACTCTTCCATCTCAACGTGTCCAAGAGGGAGAGCACCTCGCCGAGGTAAGGGCTCTGCTCCTGCTGATCTGCTCTGCGTTACAGGGCCGGCGGTGGTGTGAGTTGGGGCTGGGCTTTGGTGCCTGCTCTCAGCTCGTGCCATCCACAGGGTGATGCACAGGAGAGGCACTATGGGGAAGCCTGACCAGAAGGACCTGAATGAGAACATGGCTGCAACACAGGGGCTCTCCCACATGATCACTGACTGCAAGAAGCTCTTCCAGGTGGGTGGCTGTGGTGCGCTCAGCTTGGTGCTGCCCTCCTGGGTCTGTGGGGTGAGTGCAGGGTGAGGGGAGGGCACCCACAGGGTCAGCCTGGGGCATCACGGGGCCAGCAGAGCCCTGTTCACTGTGGAGCCGGTCACAGGCTGCAGGAAGTGTGCCCAGGGAGGTTGCATCTGTCCTTCTCACCTCCTTCAATGAGGAGCTGTGGTTTTCTGGCTGCTCAGGATCACTCCCAGCCTGATGAGCTGTGCACTCTTGCTTTGCAGGTCTCCCATGACATCTTGCTCCAGCTGAGCAGCTCTTACATGTCAGCAGATGCTTACCCCCACCCCCTGTCCGAATTTATGACCCCAAGTCAAGGGGAAGGCAAGGATTTACACTCCTACTTTGAGCAGAGCGTCCGGAACCTGCTCAAAGAGTCATCAGAGAAATTCAAGGGATGGCTGAGCACCCCAGGACCCCTCAACACGGAGCTCTCCTGCAAAAAGGTGAATGTTACTGCAAATGGGATCTTTGGATTTACAAGGTGATTTGGATGCAAAGTAACCACTGCGAGCTACAGGTCCTGTGGGCGCCTGATGAGGCCTTGGTGCCCATTCCCTTCTGCAGGGAGGGAGTCGGTGGTCCCTGCCCTGGCTGGAGGGGGACAGCTCAGAGGTAGAGCGCGCTCTATATTCAGAGCCCATCACATCTCTATTTACCCCTCTCCACCACCCTACGCAACTCTTCTGTCCCATGGTGCTGTTCCACGGCAGTGGGACCCGTCAGTGGAACTGCTTGGGGACTGGTGGACGGGCTCCCACAACAGCCTGCCTGACCCTTCCTTTGGCCCCAGCAGGTTGGGGACGGGCACCCCCTGCGCCTGTGGAAGGTCTCCACGGAGGTCGAGGCCCCTCCCTCCACGGTGCTGCAGCGGGTGCTGAGGGAGCGCCACCTCTGGGACGAGGACCTGCTTCAGAGCAAGGTGGTGGAGGCTCTGGACAAGGACATGGAGGTGTATCACTATGTGACGGACAGCATGGCGCCTCACCCACGCAGGGACTGCGTGGTGCTCAGGTGAGGGCAGGTGGGACCGGAGCTGGAGGGCTGTTCTTGGTTGGTGTGGCTGGCTGCTGGGCTCTCCCAGCCCCGTGTGGTGCAGCCCAGGGCTGAGTGCCGCTCTGCGTGCAGGTGCTGGCGCACAGACCTGCCACGAGGAGCCTGCCTGCTCATCTCCATCTCGGTGGAGCACGACAAGCTGCAGGTGGAGGGAGGTGTTAAAGCCGTGGTGCTGACCTCGCAGTATCTCATCGAGCCCAGCGCCATGGGACGCTCCAAAGTGACGCACATCTGCAGGGCTGACCTCAGGTACGAGAAACCCTTGGGATCACTGCTGTTCTTCTGCATCCGTGCATGTCGGTGGGGGTGTGGGAGCTGTTCCTGCGTTTTGCTGTGTGCCCATAGTGATGAGGGGGGAGGACATGCTCCTTTTGCTGCCATAGTGTCCTTGTTCATCGTAGGCCATCACAGCTAGCAAGAAACAAGGTGCTGCTTGTGGCCTGCCCTGCCCGTTTACCCATTGTCCTGCCTTGCTCCCTTTCCCAGGGGCCGATCGCCGGAGTGGTACAACAAAGTCTTTGGGCACCTCTGCGCCATGGAGCTGGTGAGGATCCGAGATTCTTTCCCAGCACTGAGTCCGAATGGCCCTGAGACCAAGATCTGAGGAGCTGGGAAGATGCTGCATCCTGTCAGACCACGGACTTGCAGCCAATGGGGCTGGGACACGCGGAGGGGAATGAGAAGCTGACATGCCACTAAGATGGGCACATATTTATATGCTTCCTTTTAACCTGGGCCTGGCCCCCCAACAAAGAGCCACAGGCTGCCCTATGTGTGCGTGGCTCTTCTCTGCTCCCCCTGCAGGGCCGTTTGCCACCATTCCTTGGAGGGACAGGGGCAGCTGGACCCCCCACACCTGCCGCTGCTCATTTGTCCTGTCCCATGCGTGCTACAGGGCTGGCTGCCAGCAGCGACGGAGCTGTGCCCCAAGGGGCTGCGTAGGAGAGATGGACAAGAGCATCTTGCTTGCCCCTGGAGAAGAGAGGGGGCTTTGGGGTGATGCCCAATGGTCCAGAATGAGCTGGACCACGAGCTGCTCCGGGTGAGGGTGTGTGGAGCAAAGCTGGAGGCAGCAGAGGTGTGGGAGCTGAGGGGGCAGGTGGAGCCAAGGCCAGAGATCACAGTGCTGTGTGAGGAGGTGAGGACTGGGTGGTGAGAGGACAAGCGTGCATGTGCAGTGTCACCCAGTGTGGGGACAGGCAGGGAGCTGGGCTGGGAACCTGTTTGCTGAAGGATGCTCTTATTGGAGGAGAGGACTACATAGATAGCTATAGATCCATTTACTGACAACCATTGTCAAGTGGCAGAAGGAATCTACTGCTATTACCTTTGGTGCTAAATTTCATAGGAGATGAAGGATAAAGCTGTCTGATCCACTGCCTTGGACTTCTTCAACTGAAAGATACCCCTGTGCACTGCATTGCAGTGGGGGCTGGATGGACGTGCGTCCAAGCCAGGTGCCATCCTTCCACACCAGTGTCAGGCAGTTGGACGGGGGGTGGACAAGGCTAGAAACCCAGAGCAGCTGCAGGGAAGCTAATGAAGGGGCAGCAATACAAGGGGGCTGAGGCAGTGGAGCAAGAAGGGTGGAAGCAGGATGTGCCCAGCACTGCAGCTCCCAGCTCCCTGCTTACAGCTGGAGGGTCTCAGTGCACCCCTGCCAGAGACGGGTGAGGGGAGCTGATCATGCAGCAACTGCTTCCACTAAAGCAAGCAAATGGTGATAACCCAACTGCTAGAGCCAGGCTTCGTATGCCTCCTGTGCACTGCAGTAAACAGGCACGGTGGATTCACGTCTCCCTGGGCAACTGCAGGCAGCAGAGCTTGTGCCCCACAGGAGTGCAGAGCTGCCCCAGCACCCCCTCCAAGGAGCTTGGCTTCCCCTTACCAGCCCTTCCTTCTTCCTGCAGTGCCCAGAACTGACCTGGTTTCTCCTTTAGGCAGGGACCCAAGTTACTTGACGTCGTTCCAACTGGAAGGCAACACGACCCACAGGCGGGAGCAATTCCCAGTGCCAGTTTTGCCATAACAAATCATGTCTGTCTCTCTTTTGGTTAAAAAGAAAATAAGAATGACCCAGTCTGTATTCTGTTTTTATATATATATATTTATATATATATAAAATACATAACTTCTTGAGGGAGTGATTTTTCTCCTGATTTTTTTAAAAAATGTTTCTTTTCTTCCTATATAAATACTTGTACAGTTGGAATATTAATATATAACTGCGGACGGTAGAGCTCAGCACCAGGTGATGCTCACTTAAAAGATGTGTATTTTGTATTTAAGGGGCTATTTCTCGTTTTGTATCATACGCAATGCAACAGATTGTTTGACTTGGATTGGGGCTGCTCTTCCTATCCGTGTAATTAATAAAGTACTAACGATAGCTGCTGGCTGATGCAGGAACCCTGGTGGTGAGTTGGTGCTGTGAGCTGATGCCCCGTTGCAGAGCTGAGCAGCACGGTGATGCAGTGCTGTGATGCAGTGCTGTGGAGACATCGGGGTCGCATCCCTGGGTCACAGAATGCAGCCAAACCTGAGAGCAGCTGTGAAGATGCCCGCAGGGCTGAGCCGTGCAGCGGATGCTCGGTGTGCTGGTGGTGCCAGGCGGGGTCAGGGGTTGCCTATAGCACCACCAGCATGAAGCTCTGCCGGGAGCTCAGCTCTGGGCGCCGGGCGTGCAGACAGCCCTTCACCTTCTCCTGGAAGGGAGCCGTGGTGATGGTGTAGAGGATGGGGTTGAGTGCGCTGTTGATGGGCAGGATGAAGATGACCACCCAGGATGTGACGGTGCCTGCTCCAACCAGGAAATGCCATCAGGCAGCCAGCCTCCCCCAGGGGGGAGCACCCCACACACGGTGGGGGTTCATGACTGCTGCCCTCTGCCAGGGCCCAGCCAGGGATGAGCGGTGCTCCCCCCCTCTTCCCCTCACAGCCCACATGTGGGTGGGGGGGCACCCAGACTCGACAGCACCCACCCCAAGAAGCCCATAGTTGGGAATGGGGGTGGGTAGCAGCAGACTCCAAGACCTCACCTGGAATTTCCACCTGCAGCAGGGAGAGCAGCTTGAGCAGGAAGATGGGGATCCAGCAGAGAGCATCAGTGAAGACGATGAAGAAGAAGCGCTTGGCGATGGCCACTTCCCGGGGGCAGACGCTGCTCTCCGCTGTTCTGCAGGTGGTGATGCGGATCGAGTAGAACATGCCAGTGTAGGCAAAGACAATGGTGATGAAAGCTGCAAGGTTCAAGCCTGGAGACAGGGAGAAACTTTGCTCTGAGCATGTCTGATAGACTAGGAGCAGAGCAGCCCACTTCCAGCAGTGGGAAGAGAGGAGACACCACTGTAGCTTCAGCTTGCCCTGACCCCGCACCCCGCTCTCCCCATCCCCATCCCTACCCAGGGCCTCACCCAGGTAGATGGTGGTGGAGAAGCCCCTGGCACTGGGCCGCTCACCCAGCTCAGACTGCAGCGGGAAGCACACCCCGTTCCTCCCATAGTAGTTGCCAAAGGACTCCTTGCAGCACAGCGGCACGACGCTGAGCGAGAGGCCCAGCAGCCAGATGGCAGCCAGCACTGAGGCTGTCTGCTTCCTGCTGGCTCTGCGGTAGCTGAAGGGGAACACGATGGAGAAGTATTTCTCCAGGGTCATGTAGGTGAGCAGCAGCACGGACACCTCAGAGGACAGCATGGCCAGGCTGCCCACCAGCTGGCACGGCACGCTGGCCATCCAGCCCTGCGCGTGCCGGTTGTATTCTCCCGCGTACTTCAGGTCAAAGGCACCAATGACAAAAAGATAGATGCCCATCAGGCCGTCCGCACCTGGGGGGAGACAAAGCACCATGAGGAGGAGGCACCGCGCTCAGCAGCACCCGTGGCATCAGTGCCCCCACAGCCCCTGTTGGCCCCCGGCTCACAGCACAGGGATTTGATGGCCATGGTGTGCGCGCTGCTCTCTGTGACCACGCAGGACCGCATGCAGATGACGCAGAGGTTGCCCAGGCAGGTGACGCAGGCGATGACCCAGACGAAGACACGCAGGATGATGTTGGCCAGCAGGTGCTCGAAGGAGGAGATGCCGTCGGTGTTGGGTTTGCAGCTGCGCACGTGGGGCGCGGAGCTGCAGTACTGGAACTTCTTGAAGTAGCTGCAGGGGGGGGGGATCCTGGCTGCTGCCTCGGCCATTGCACAGCCATCCTCCTTCCAGCCCTGCCCGCCCCGCTGGGATACTACTCCCCATCTAGGTGAAGAGCCGGTCGGACCCTCACACTGCAGCCAACTGCCTGAGAGCCTCTGCTGGAAGACAGGAGTGCCTGGTAACCCTCTTCTAGAGAGGGATTTGCAGAGCACCAGAGGGCTTGCGGTTTGCACAGCCACCGCAATTTGCTTTGGACACAAAAGCAGCCTGAATCCTTTACAAAACAGCCCGGAGGCACCCCTGTGCTTTCCTGGATCAAGTGCCACACACTTAAACCTGTGCCTGTTCTGCGCTGCTGGCTAATAAATACAGAGTGCTTTCCTTCAGCCTGTGATTCTCACAAACATTTAAAAAATTAATCCCTTTTTGGAGTCTCTCAGCTTCCATTAGCAGGGATTCAAATTTTTTCCCCTGCACGTTATTTCAGATTAATCTTTTCAAGCCTTAGAAAAGCAATTCCATGTAAGCTTAGCAAAACTCCACATTAGAAAATTACTACAAAACTGACATGCAAGGCTCATTTCTGCTTAATTATAGATAAAAGGAGAGAAATGATTGCTTATTAGCAAGTCAGGTAGAAAATGTACCATATTTGCAGTCCAAACAGACCAATTACAGAAAGGAAGATGTACAGTTGACTTTCATTGCAGGTACTCTAAAATGTGCATCTGCAGAAAATTAATGATTTTTTTTTTTTCCTCCTTGCAAAGCACTCACAGCTGGCTCCTCGGCTGCACTGCCACCATGCCCACCCTGCCTGCACATCTCTGCTGCTCTCAGGCCATTAGCTCATGCACAAGCAAAGGAGCTCGAATGGGGTTGCTTAACCCTGGCTTCCTGTACCCAGCTCAGTCAGCAGGGCCCACCCTTCACACCCCACCTGTGCCCAGGGCTGCACAGCACCCTTGCACAGCATGCACTCTGGGGCACGCAGCTCTGCATGCCACCCCCTCTGCTCCAGGGAGAGGTTTCTTGGCTTGGGGCGCCCCTTCCCTCCACACTCACATGTGGGAGAGGTTGGACAGCCCACGGAAGGTCACATTGTGGATGTTGGGGATCTCCAGCCCCTCCAGGCTCCTGCAGGATGAAGGCAGGGCTGGGTGCTGCTGCTGGGTGTGGGCCCACTGCGGCACTGCAGGGCTGGGGTGCTGCGGGACTCACAGGGACAGCAGCTGGGGCAGGCTCTCAAACTGGCTGGGGCAAATCTCTTTCAGAGGATTGTAGGAGATGTTCCTAGAAGGAAACAAGGCGCCGCTGTTCCTCCCCCTGGATGCGTTTGCAGGAGCTGGAAACGAGGGCAAGGAGCCGTGTTCCCGGCTCTTCCTCAGAGCTCCCCACCCCAGGGCAGCACACAGCCCTGATGCAGGCGAGCAGAGAGCCATACTCACAGCTGCTGCAGGGCAGCCAGGCTGTGGAACAGAGATGGTGGGAGCTCATCCAACCCATTGCAGGACAGGTCACTACGTGGAGCAGAGCGGTGCTTAGGGAGGCAGGGGGGAGCCCACATGAGTGAGGGCCCCAGCCCAGGGCTCAGGGGCACAGCAGCCATGCACTCACAGCTCCACCAGCCTGCTCAGCCCAGAGAACGCCCCACTCTGGATCCACCGGAGTCTGTTCCTACGCAGGATCCTGGGCCAGGAGGAAGGGAGAGCACAGATGCAGCACTGTCCATGTGCATTCCGTGAGCATACCCCAGCACAGGGCTGGCTGTGAGCACTCAAGATGCTGCAGAGGCACCCGAGGGTCATCAAGTTCCGATGCCCAGGCCACAGGCAAGGCCACCAACCTCCTGATCTGGTACTAGACCAGGCTGCCCAGGGCTCTCTCCTACCTGTTCTGAACACCTCCGGGAATGGGGCATCCATAACCTCTCTGGGCAGCCTGTTTTAGCACCTCACCACACTGTCTCTGTGAGGAACTTCCCCCTCACATCTACTCTAAACCTTTCCTCCTCAAGTTTAAAATCATTTCCCCTTGTCCCATTGCTATCACCTCCATCATGGATGTGGGAGAGGAGGTCAGGGAGAACCCAGGCCTGTCCCCAAGGACTGAACAAAACGCACAGGGGACTTTCATCACACCCGCATCTCCTTCTGATCATGAGACAGTGGCTCTTCCCCTCTTCTGAGAATGGTGACAGCAGGACCAGAAAGTGGGCAGCATGAGGGAGCCAAAGGGAGCAGAGAGCACTGTTCAAAGCTCTGCCCAGGAGGAGGGGGTGGGCAGGGGCAAAGGTGAATTCTTTGCTTTCATTGGCGCCAGGGTGGCACCTGCATGAGAGCCTGGAGCACTGCTCAGCCCTGGGCAGGAGGGGACTAAACAGAGCTCGTCACTCTCTGACATACGGAGCCAGCATACGAGCTTTATGTCTCCTTGGGGATATTTTTAGGGGCTCTGGATGCCAGCGGGAGGCTCAGAGCTGGCTGCAGGCCCTGCTGCTTGTGCACCACAAGCAACTTTTTCCATGCAGTGTCCTGCCTCTGACCCCGTGGATCACAGCAGCCCCTGCCTGCAGCTCCCTGCCCCGCTGGGTATCCAGCCATACAAAAGGCTCTGGAGAGCAATGCTGGCAAAGCTGAGTCTGCAAAGCTGACTGCAGTACCAATGCTGCTTACAAAAACAGAGTGGAACCATTCACCTGGGACACAGCCCAGAGCAGAGCAGGGTCCCCGCTGAGCACTGCTCATCACCCACCTCCATGCACCCACAGTGGGAAGGGGGACCCCTAAAGTACTCACAGCACAGTGAGCTCACGGCACTGCTGGAATACGGCCCCACGCACTGCCTGGATCCTGTTCCCTTCCAGCTCCCTGCAGGGAATGCAATCACTGCTGCTTCCCCAGCTCCATCCCAGTGCCCCCAGGAACAGTACCCAGACCCCAGCTGCCCCAGTCAGGTACTCACAGCCAGCTCAGCTTTGGTGTCTCCACGCAGAGGGAACCATCGGGTATCTTGGCCAGGGAGTTGTTCAGCATGTACCTGAGGGGGAGGCAGTAGGGAAAAATAGGGTTGCAGTGCAGCCCACCCACACAGGACGCAGCCTGCTGCTAACACTGGGCCACATGGCACATCATGAAGGCTTTCTGCTGGTGCCTGGCCCAACCACAGGGCTCCTCACAGCGGTACCCAGATGAGCTCAGGGCTGGCATCACCTTCCTGACTGATGGATCTTTGCACCCCTGTTCCCATGTCAAAGCACAAAGCAGTTCATGCAAACACCTGATGCACGCAGCTTAACTGCAGTGCAGAGTTTTGTTCACCTTCCCTGGGATGTAATGGGGAGGGGTCACAGCCAGCGAGTGAATCCCAGGGAGAAAGGTGCACAGAGCCAGCAGCGAGCAACCCGAGGGTGAAGGCAGTAAATGCAGATTTATAGCCCAGAATCCCTCTGACATTTTTTCAACCCCTTTGCACATGCCTGCGTGCAGGGCTTCTTGGTGCACTTCTTGTGACCGCAGTTTATTGGTTTGTTTGATTTGTTAAAAAAAGGCAGAATGATAAACATGCTGCGTCACTGAGCTGCTCCACTGCCCGCAACGTGGGAACACACAGCTTTGGGAACAGAGCTGGGACACGGGGTGCCAACCAGGCATCACAGAGCTCTGGGGGCACAGCACCTCCTGCCCAGAGCCCATCCCCAGCCCCACAGCCCCAACCATCCCCACCTCTGCGGTGCTCGCTGTCCCAGTCACCCAGCACCAGACCCCCAGAACCCCTGGTAGCTCCCAGCTCTGGCCACAGCCCCCTCAGCACCACATCCCCACACCCCATTTTGGGCCTTTTACAACTAATTCCAGCCCAGACATCTCCAGGAGAGATGTGCAAACCCACAGCAGCAGCAATAACTGAGGCTCTTCCCTTGCAGCTGTGTGCTCAGGGATTACAGCTTATAGCAGCCAGATATACATGAGCATACATATGTGAATGTGTGCTCACACACACATTGCTGCGATTCTGTGATTTTTTTTTCCATTCTGACAGCCAAAACTTCTCCCCTAACACTGACTCCAGGCTGCTGCCAGAGTTTCTGATCTGCACAGCGGACTGTGGAGGTGGAGGAGGCATTGCAATCATGTTTAAGTGACTGCAAGATTACTTTTATGGCAGTCGCAACACAAGAGTTATCCTTTTCTTCCACTTGGAAATGGGCCCCATAAGCAATGCTTGGCCTGAGCCTGCCTTCTGTACAAACATGCAGCACAAGAGACAATGGCTGGCCAAGGCTGGGGTCCCACCTCCAGCACCACCCTGCCCCAACAGCTGCTGGCAGTGCAGTGGGAGGGCATCCCTGGGGAAAGAGTGGGGGCACAGCATCCTTGGCCGAGCCCAGAAAGCCCAGAGCTGGGGCATGGCCAAGCAGTGCAGGAGGCACCGAGGTGACCCACAGTGGCTCCCCAGGACTCACAGGAAGTACAGCGACCTCAGCCCTGAGAACGTAGCAGGGGTGATCCGAGCAATCCTGTTGTTGTCCAGTATCCTGGGGGTGAGAGGAAGGAGAGGTGAAAGCAGGGAAGGGATTCTGGCAGCACACAGAGCGCTGGGAGCCTGTCCCACGGCCCCATCCCCGGGCTGGGGGCTGCCCCATCCCATCCCCTCCCCTCAGCTCCTGGCCAAGCTGAAGCGTTAGATCCAGCTGCAGAGCCTGGATTCCCTCACAGTCAGGCTCTGCTGGATTTTTCCTCTCTTCTGCTGTGAAACAATGATAAATTAAACACCATTCAGGGAATTCGGGGCTGTGCCTGACTTCTCTGAAATCCTCTGGTTTGTGTGCTCCACAGACCACCCTGCATGAGCTGCTCGTTGTTGTTTCCCTCTTTGATTTAAGGGACGGCTGAGCCGGGCCTGTGGCACATCGGGAGGGAAGCTGGGAGCAGCCCTGCATGCGGGGAGGGGGGGAAAGGGGGGCACCGTGCAGAGCAGCCTCTGCACCCCAGTTCTGACCAAATGCAGCCTTAGAGAGCAAACAGGACCGAACGGTACAGGCTGTCTTTTTTGTTTAAGCACTTTTGGAGGGGGGTTGGACCTGCAAACTGACTGCACGTTGGGAAGGTCTCACACAGAGCTGTGGTCCTGAGAGTGCCCTGCACCGTGCCCAGCACTGTGCACACCCACTGCCCTCTGCAGCCCAGCAGGAGCGGCTTCTTCCCTGCAGGAGAGAAGCGCTTGGCTGCCACCACAGAGCCACGAGCCCAGCATCTCTGCTCCACCCCATATCCCTCCCAGGGCTTTGGGCTGCCACCCCCAAGGAAATACGGTCACGATGCACACGAGGAAGCCAGGAGCAGGAGGGAGCTCACAGCCACTCAAGACGCTTCAGGTCCTCAAACGTGCGGGGCAGCAGCTGGGAGATCCTGTTGTGACTGAGGAACCTGCGGACAGAGCAGGAGAGGCATTTTCCTCCTGCCTTGGTGGGGCTGCTCACAGCCCCCACTGCCAACGCCTGGGACACTCCCTGGTCAGTGCCAGCACAGGGCCGGCTCAGAGGGAATTGGGCTGAGGAGAGCACAGCTGGAGCTGGGGGAGCTGGAGGTGCCTCTGCTCTGCCCTTCTCTCTCCCCCCACTCCAGCTGACAGCAGCTCAGTGCAATTCTCACAGGAGCAGCTGTGCTGTGCGTGAGGAGCTGCATCCCATGGCCCCTCTCCCCCAGGCCTCATCATGCAGCCATTCTTACTTACAACATCCTAAGCTGAGAAAGTCCAGCAAATGCCTTGGGTGAGATGACACGGATCTTGTTGTTCTGCAAGAATCTATTAAAAAAAAAACAACAAAAAACCACAAAAGCACAACAACAACAACAAAACAGAAAGCAGATTGAGAGAGAGTTGCTTTCTAAGGGATTCTGAGGGCTTGCAGGTCCCCAGGAAATAAGGACGTGCCCCATGTCTGCTGGGGACCTGCAGCCCTGGAGCAGGAGGAGCAAATGATAGAGATGAGGAGCAGAGCAGAGCCACTCCATTCCCCTGTGCAACCCCATGGGACAGAACAGGCAGTACTCACAGCTTCCTCAGGCTCCAGCACCCAGCGAACTGGTTGTCCAGCAGAGTGTGGATTTTATTTCTCTTTAGGTCCCTATCAGGAAAGTGAGAGGAGAAGAAGAAAGAAAAAAAAAAAAAACACAACACAAAAAAGAGACCTAATAATAAAAATAATTTAAAAATCAAATTCAGAGCCAGAGAGAAAAAACAGGAGGACAAGAGAGCCCTGACTCCCTTTCCCTGAAATAGGAATGTGTTGCAAGGCAGCTGCTGTTCATTAACACAATCCTGCTAATTGCTCTCCAGGTGAGAATTTTCATGCTTCCCCCCCCTTCCCTGCTCTCATGTCACGTATGTGAGAGGCACTGGGGGATCAGTGGTGCTGGCAGCCCCCGGCCTGGCAGTGCTGGGATGGGGGGAGCCCTGTGATACTCACAGCTGTGTCACATTGGGGGACAGCCTGGGCACAGCGCTGAGGTTCTGTGCAGTGCAGTCCACGGCCCTTCCCCAGCATCGGCACTGCTCCGGGAACATCTCCAGCACTGCAGGACCAGAGGGGATGTGCTGAGGGGGCAAAGGGGGCCCACGTGGTGGGGAGGGGATGGGAAGGCAGTCCTGAAGGTGGCTTACAGCACGTGTCTGCCTCGTCCTCTGTCCAGATGTTCCCAGCCAGCATGTCGCCCAGCACCCCCAGCCAGCCCGTGGTGTCCACTGTGGGCAGGAGTGCTGTCAGGCATGGCTGCATCCCACAGTGCCCAGCAACTCTGCATGGTGGGTGCAGAACCCCACAGCCCCAGGCAGGGTGCGGGGAAGGAAGAAGGCAGCAGGCTGGCTCCAGACCCATGGCTGTGTGAAGCAGGGCTAGCTCCATCCGGCCATGTTATGTGCATCCAAACGTTTCCTTCCACTCTTTCTCCCATCCCACCAAACCTGTCCTGTGCCAGGCGCTGCACCCACAGCTCCCAGCAGCATGTTTGCCCAATCTCTGACTCTTTTACATTCTGCTTTCCAGCATCCCTGAGCGAAAAGCCCCCCAGTGGCACAGCATATTGTGCAAAGAAGGGAATTCACTTTGTTTTCTTACATCTGCTGCAGCCGTGTGCCCCAACAGCTGGCACAGAACCTCCCATTCCTCTGTCTCTGCAGACAGTCCACACAACCCTGAGGACTGCAGCAGGAGAGTCCCAAACAGGGGAGCTGCTAAGTGGGCATGCATTACAGCGCCAGAACCAGGGCGCCGTGGTCCATGATTCCTGCCATTGCTATCGCTCACAGGGAAGGCTGCAGCTCTGCCCTAAATGCTCTCATCATCCCAGTTCTTGGCATTTCCAGCCCAGGGACACCCCACCTTCCTAGGGTCTTGCTAATTACCACAGTTCTCCTCATCAGCGCCGTTGTTGCAGTCGTCCACCCCGTTGCAGTGCAGGGCCTGGGGCAGGCAGACCGAGAGATTGCCACAGGGAAACTGCCCCAGGGGACACACGTACCCATCACTGGAGGGCGTGGGAAGAGGCTCTGCAGAGGGAAGAGGGGATGCTCAGTACTCGGGGGGCTGAATCCTGCTGTGTTCCCACCTGACCATGTGCCATCTGCCAACCCTCAGCAAAGGGCTCTGCTCCCTGTGGGTCTCCCTGACGCCCAGAGCAGACACTCTCCCACAGGCAGACATTCCTCCATGGACAGACATTCTCCCTGTACCTTACCCCAGCCCACACACCCAGCCCTCTGTCCCACCACAGCGCATGGCTGCTTCAGGCTCCCTTTCTGCAGAGCCCCTTCTGTCAGAGCCATTGAGGTACTCAGCTCCAGGGCTCTGTTCATTAGCATCCTGCAATTATCCCCGGCAGAGGCATGCCTCAGATCCAGCTAAACGTTTCCACACCTGCTTTGATCACGAACCGGGAAGTGGCAGCAGGCAGGAATCAGGAGGGAGCAGGGCTGCTTTCAGGGCCCAGCCTGTCGCTCAACATTTCCTTCAGCTGTCAGCCTATTAATGGCTAATGGGGCATGCTATAATTAAAAGCACTTTGTCTCACTCGTGCACACACGCTCGTCAGCAAGTACTCTGCCTTCGCCACCAGCCCTAAGCAAGACAGGGGGAGAGCAGCATCCCATAGCTGGTTGCAGCCTCACTGTCCCATGCTGGCCATGGTGAGGTGCAGGAGCTGCTCCTGTGCTGACCTGTCTCAAAACAGGACCCAGGGAGCCCCACACTGCAGAGACATGGCAGAAGGACCTCACGGTCCCCACAGCAGAGAGTGTTTGCATATGGAGCTATGTAAATACCGCGAGAGAAGAGTTTATCCACATATATATTGACACACATAAACAGAGGCAGATGCTGCTTTTGAAGGAAGCGGAGGTCGCAGTGGAACTGATGCTCCCTGGCCCCGGGATCTGCTCTGCACTAACCAACCTGGGGCTGGAGGAACCGGTTACAGTATGAGGGAGAAATCAGGCAAATGGGGAGAGATGGGCAAAAAGTGAAACAAATGGACAAAGAAAAGCGGGCACTGCTCGTGTACCCCCTGCCTGGCTCTGGGAAAAGGCAGCCTTGAGAGGAAGCAGCCAAATTTAGCCGGGGCCAATCTTGGCATTTGCTGCATCCCTGCAGGGCCACACAGGCCTGTAAACGCAGCCCACGCAGCCCCATAAAACGGCTGCGACCAAAATAGAGCACAAAGCCAAAGAGTGCTGCTGGGGGGGGGGGGGCAGCCCAGCTGAGGCCAATTTCTCAGCCCCAGTCCATACACACCACATTCTTCCTCATCATGCAACTTCATCCCGGGGTCTTATGCAGCTCTGTGGGACTGCATGTGAGTGCCAGAGGGATGGGTTGAGAGCTTTCCGCTGGGAGCCCACTCATTTCAAAACCAAACCAAAGCCCTGCTCTGCCTTCCCTGAACTCAGAGCAGTTTCCCAAGTCACTTCAATACATTCATTTCCAGAAGGTAAAAACTCTAGGAGCTAACCCACGCAGCAAAGCAGCTTGACTTACATCTACATCACCTCTATCCTCAAGGAAAGCCCAGGGCTGCTGCCAGCACATCACTGCTGGTGCTGCCCAGGATGCGGCCATCCCATGCTGAGCATCCCAGCATCCCACCATTGCTGAGACCCAGCGCTGCTGCTGGCTGAGCTGTGCCCCCAGCGCGGCTGTCAGGGCTGCCCCGATAATTAACTGCACATCAGACAGAGGCCGACCCTCCCCTCCCACGGGCCGCTGGGGAAGGAATGGTTTGCGTTGCCATCGACAAAAGCAAAGCACAACAAATCATCCTCGACAGAAATACCACAGAACGCCTGGATGCTTGGCGTACCCCTTCCCAGCTCCCCACAAAAGCACCTGGTTTTCGTATGGTTTTGTCCACTGCTCCGTCCCTTGTCCGACCGCAGCATTAGCACTGCCCTGCACCTCCCCTGCTCTGCTCCATGCTCGCTTTCTCCCAACTAAGAGGCAGAGGCACAACCTGCGGTAGTTTCTGGGGTTACGTGTCCATGGGGTTGCGGTACGTGGGAGTCTGGGCAGGAGCACAGCGAAGAGAGCAGCGTCAGCGGCGGCACAAAACGCTCCTTGAACCCAGCATTCTTCTTCCGTGCAGCACGGCGCTTTGCAGGCATCGCCGTGTTTGTGCTGGGCTCTGCACCCGAACACTGGGACACAGCTGCCCATGAAAACCCCCTCTCCTGCCCCCCAGCAGACGGTCCACGGCCCTCCCCACTTCCAGCAGTGGCCTCACCTACGTACCTGTGGCAGCGCAGAGCAGCGAGGGCAGCACCAGCAGGAGCAGCTCCATCATGGGGCTCATGGCACCGAGAGAGTGCTGCTGCGGGAGGCAGAGGAGGCAAATGGAGCGTGGGGATGTGACCCGTCCTCTCCTCCCAGTAGCTTCCACCAACGCACACCAGCACTGGGGTGCTGCAAGTTGTCAGTGCTCTCCGAAAGCCATGTGCTGCGCTGTGCAATGCCCGGCTGGGGAGGCTGGGAGCTGAGGAGGAGGAGGAGGGCGAGGAGGAGGAGAAGGAGAAGGAGGAGGAGGAGGCAGAGGGCTGCTTTCTCCACGCAGGGAGTTGGCATTGCAGCCTGTGCTCCTGCCCTCTCGATAGATGCTCCCATGTGGGGCAGGGCAGCCCCAGACTCTGCACGTGATGCAGCCGGAGGGTGTCTGCCAGGGATCCACCCCCGGCACCTTCAGGTCACCACTGCCCTCACTCAGCTCCCAGGAACCAGCAGACTGAACTGCTTTGCTGGCCTGGATTCACCCTTAAGAGGAAGGATGGACCTTGAGGAGTCACAGCTGTGCCACTGCAGGGGATCTGGTGGCCTCACCATGCTCTGATCTCTGTGCTCCGTTCCTCTGCCATCGGTGTGGTGAATCTGCTTGGAATCTCCTTTCCAAGTTCTGAATGCTTGTTATGAGTCCAGAAAATCTGTAAATATATAACAAATACAACCATTGCTGCTGGAGGCAAATCCGCTCAGGACGCTGGAGTGGCTCTCCCAACTTCCCTCAGCTGCATGATGTAGGTGTGTGAGATTCAATGATGAACACATTCCCCTTTCTATTTGAGTATTCTGATTAACACATTTAAAACTTATCAATAAACTTGCTGACGCTTTTAAAACAACCCAACAACCATTCCTATCAGCACTGAGCAGGTGAGAATAAAACACATCTCCTTCACCTCTAGAGCTCCACGCTGACAGCCATGCAAGGACATGGCTCTGACCCCAGGCACTGAGCTGCTGCACTGGAGGGCTGCATGGCCCCAAACCTGCCTGCTCCACTGCTGGCACTGCGCCCCATGGGGGCCATGGGGGATGTGGGGGACTGGGCTGTGCCAGGATGAGGGGAGCAGCCTGCAAAAGGAGATGACACGGAGCATTTGTGGTTCTAAATCAGATTTATTTAGGATCGAAGGGCACATAGAAGCCAGCAGCCGGATAGAGTGAGGCATGTTTCAGGGTCTAACAAAATTCCTCTCTGCTTTAGCTTGGCTGTAGCTACAGCGAGGGCTGCCCAGCAGCACGGGAGGCCATCCCAAGAGAGGATGGGAAACAGGAACCCTGTGAGCAAGCAACAACTGGGCAAAGGCAGGAAAGGCATCTGCAAACTGATGGCGGCCAATTCCCTCTTCCCAGCGAAAGCAGTGGTGCTTCCTCTCACCACTCCTGCCGGGTGTTCCTGCAGTCCCTCCGCTCCCCCCAGCCCTCAGCTTGCTTCTTCTGCGGCTCTGCCGGCTGTCAGCATCCTCACACCATGTCTGCATTCCTTTGCAGGAGCTTTGTTAATGGGCCAAAGCATTTCCCCTCACACCCTTTGGCAGAAATCTTTGTCCAGCTCTTGACTGTGCCTCCCACTAACCACCGAGTGATGTATGGGCGCTGGAGGCTTCGGTGCATGCATTAAATCTCTGTAAAGCCCAGCAATATGATACAACAGAGTCCCAGGCGGCTCAGAAGGGACTTGTGCAATGGCATGGCGTGGATTTACAGCTGGGGTCAGAAGCGTGGCCTCGCAGCACTGCGCCTGCTCCAGCCCAGCCTTGCAGCGAGTGCGTCTTGCTAGCAGCTCTGTCATATCCCCAGATAATGTTACTTCTGAGCAAAGCGAGCCAGCTTTCCTTCCACTTTGTTTTCCACTGAGATGACTCTCAAGCCAAATCCATTACCTCTGGCTCAGGCCGGACTTCTCCAGCACTGCTTTTCTTGATTTGCTGGAGATGTGCCTCTGCTGTGCAGGGTACCGGTTCGCAGTACCAGCAGTGCTGGTGCCAGGCTGCTGCCTGCCCTGCTCCCATAAGAAGCAGGGAGCTGAGGATGCTGCACCCCAGGTACCCAGAAAGATGCTGTTGGCAGAAGTGCCAAGAGAGAGGGCACAGCGAAGGAAAACTCATACTCATCCCACGCGGGCTGCTGTCGTTCTGGGTGCTGGATTTTTGGTTAGGCTCTTTGGGGTCTGCAGCCCTGCTTTGCCACTGCACCACGATGTGCTGCCCAAGCCCTGATTCTCCTCCATGCACGATGAGCACACGTGGGAGGTGATGCTGTGCCTAGAGCTTCCTGGAGCACACTGCCTGCAGCTCCTGTGTGGTGCGCAGTGCTTTCAGTGCCGCGATGTGCCCTGAGCTCTCTGTCAGCCACACAGCAATTAGGGAAACCTAAACACTCCTGATGGGAAGCCTTTTAAAAAAGTCTACACCAGAGCTGCAAGCCCAAGTGTTTCTCCTCGGCAGATGAACCAGAAAGTCATTAATTACTCTGTGCTGGAGCAGATGTTTCAGTGTTTGAAATTGCTGAGGAACTGAGTCACTGTGCAGCTGGGTGCCAAGAGATGGACAGTGGCAATGCAAACACGGACCTGGTGTCAGAGGTGGGAGCGGAGCAGCTGAGGACCTGGGGAGCATCCCACAGACCTTAATGGTCATGTGAGCTTGAGGGGACACAGCTGGGGACTTTGGTTCCCAAATTGAATCTACTTTGTTTTGAAGTGACATCCAGAGCCCAGCAGCTTATCAGGTCCTGGCTGGGTGTGTGGGGAGGCTTTGGGGGTGGGTGGCACAACGGCATCGAGCAGGCAGATGTCCTCCCACTGTCCTCGTCCTCTTTCAGGCTCTCTCCACCTCCCACCTTCCCCAGCACCTCCCAGGAGTGCATTGGGGCTGCAGATGGGGTTTGCAGCTCAGCTCTGTGCTGCAGCTGCTCACCCACAGGCAATTCCAAGCTCCGAGGCCAGAGCCTCTGGACATGGCTTGGTTGTATTGCAGTGCATGTTATTTACACCTGTGCTGCAATGGTGCACTGTTCTTGGAATACCTTTCATGATATGTAATAAAGAGAACTTGCAGCACAGCTTGCAGGCTCTCACAGCACTGAGCTGCAGCACATCAGAAACCCCCAGTGCCCACAGTGCTGCTCTACGTGAGGCTCTTTTCCTCCTTAGAGTTTAGCTGCTGGTTCACCGACTGACAGATTCCTCACTCTCAGCTTTTGCCCTCCTTTTTCTGACCTTTTGCGCACTGCTGCGGTTTATAAGGAAGAGAAAGTGAGGGAAAAGGCTGCTTCAGGATTCCTGGTTTTCTCACCGCTCAGATTGCTCACAGAAGCCAGGCAGCACGGGAACGGGGCCTCACACACCTGCTGGACGTGCACTCACTGATGTGCATCCCCATCCTGGCTCCTGACAGCCTTCCCTCTGCAGACTGATGGTAAATCCTCCGCTGGTGTGGAGGCAAGCTCCCTTCTTCATGCAGAACACCCATAAATCACTTGTTCTTGGGCAACAGCCCCGACCACAAAATGAGAGCATAGGGTGTGTGCCGGGGGTCTTGGCTGAACCCCACCTCAGCACAGGTTGCTGCCAGGCTCCTCTCACTGCCCTGTGATGAGGTGAAGTGCAGAGTCAGGCCGGGCAGTGCCTGCCTTTGTCCAGAGCACATGGCCTGGCGGTAGGGCTGGCTTGCTTGGAGGTAGCTGTTGGTCTGGGGCCATTGCTGTGTTTCTTCATCCATCTAGCAGCAGCACAGCCCGCTGCCATGCTCCCTCCCTGGGAAGCAGGGTGCTGATCTCAGCAGAGCAGCCTCAGTTCTGTACTTTTATATACTGGCCCAAGCCTGCATCTCACTCACGTGAGCCAGCCCACAGCTCTTCAGAAGTGGCTGCACTGTTTTACATCACTGCTGGTCTTCCAGCAATGCCAGAACCACACTGGGAGTCCAATTCCTGATGACTTGGGAAGGACTGAAGGCCCACAGGAGCAGGGCACTGCTACTGAGATGTGACGGTGTTGGTCAGACCAGGACAACATCTGCAGCTAGACAAAATGAGAGCCGTGTGCATTTCAGATTAAATTGCACAGCTGCTGCACTTCTCCACGAGACACGCCTGGGGATGGGCAGCAGGAAGCTCTTGCCCTTCACATGTGAATCCCCACAGAGCTCCTGCTGCTTCACACCTCTGCTACTCATCACCACTTTTGCTGGAAAGAGAGATGGCACAGCTCTGCGCAGAGCCTGGTGGGAGCGAGGTCACAGCTCCCTGCTGGACAAGGCTTGGGGTGGAAGGAGGAAACAAAGTCCTCCTAGGAACACCACCAGGTAATGCTGTGCTGCTTTGTGACATTCAGGCTGAGGGCCTGGCTGACTCGTGGACTTTACTAACTCCAATCCTGCAGGAGCGAGGAGGTACGGTATGATGGCAGCTGCAGCAGGAGTGGTGCTCTGCCTGCCTGGTTCCCCCTGCAGCCCCAGCCCAGAACTCTGCCCTGGGGCTTTGCTTGGAGCATTCAGGTTTCTTGCTTCACAGCCTGGAGAGCAACATCTCAGCTCACAGATCTGCTTTTAGGGAAAGAAGGGACCCTCTTGGCTCGCTGGCAGGACAGCCACTGACTGGGAGCGGATCGGCAGAAAGAGAACCCAGCACTTGGCAGGGAGAGGAACGAACCACTGAAGCTGCTCCAGCTGGCATGCTCTGCAGCTTCTGCCAGAGTCTGCAGACTTACCTGCTTCTTTCTTCTGCAGAGCCTTGCAGAATGAATCACAAGAAAATATTTGGGCCATCGAGGTCTTTGCTTTCTAGCTGTCACGCTGAAACGGTGTGAAATTGCCAGCCTTAAAGCAGACAGGTTTGATCAGAACACCATGTTGTGGTGGTGGATTGTAGACACAAATACTGAGCTGTGCTGCTTTTTAGGGTTCACAGCCTCTATTTCTTTACACTTCTTGATGGTTGCAGCTTGCAGGAGGGTGTCTGGGAGCCACTGCAGTAGATATGCAGACTTTCAGTTCTGGGAGAAGATCTGAAAACCACAGGACTGGATGAGAATTAGACAACCTGAGCTTTACCAGGTAACAGTTTCCTCTTCCCATTGCCCAGTGCTGTAGGTGTTTACAAAGCACTGCAGCACTGCCCCTCCATTCATTCAGTCTTCTGCTGACAAAAGCCTCCTTCATGTCACCAACATCACCTTCTTCCCCTCCACTGCTCCAGTGACAGCTCAAACTCCTACCCTGCCCTCGCCCCTTCCATCTCCTGCCCTGCCCTGTGTGTGCAGCATGGGAGGGCTCTGACACCTCCAGCTCTACCAGCAGTGTGCAG